AGTGAATGGGCTAGAGGCCGTATGACAGGAATGAATGGGCCAAAGGCCGTATGACATGAATGAATGGGCCAAAGGCCGTATGACATGAATGAATGGGCCAGAGGCCGTATGACACGAATGAATGGGCCAGAGACCGTATGACATGAACGAATGATAGTCTGACACGAATGATAGTCTGACATATGAATGACTGGGCCAAAGGCCGTCTGACATGAATGATCGTTTGGTATGAACGATTGGGCCGAAGGCCGTCGGATTTGAACGATTGGGCCAAAGGCCGTCGGATACGAACGATTGGGCCAAAAGGCCGTTAGACATGGATGGATGGGCCACAAGCTGTCGGGTAGGAGTTAATTGGGCCCGAGGCCGTTTGATACGTCTAGAACTTTAGTCGATTGATACATTAAATAGAAACATGAATTGGGCCTAAGGCCGTCTGATGTAACTGTTTCAAAGATTGTTCATGTATCTTCCTTATTTGATATTATTCACTGGGCTTTCGCTCACGCTCACTCATGTCTATGTAGGTGAGCCAAGGGACGCCCAAACCCAGCCTCGGTGAAATATGTAGAAACAGTCAAGGTTTTGAAGAGTCAGCCCATACGTCTCACGCATGAGACTTGTTTTTGCCCTTTTGCTATTTTGTTACATTTTGTTATGCTGGCGAGAATGTTGGATTACTTTTGTATATAAGTTTTGGTTAGGCTGACTAAGACTTGAATGATCATGTGTATGTACAGAACTTTGTGTTGTTATCCCTTTGGTGTGAGTTATTAACAGGTATATATATATATATGGATTGTTATAATGTGCCATGTAACCACAGCTCTATGGATAAAATTTTTAAATTTGGCTTTTGTTTGGCCCCTTTACTCTGATGAGTTATGTCTTGTTTGGTTTGAGGCCGTAGGTAATCCTTGATTACTGGCCGGTTATGCCCTTAACCCATAGGGGCGGGTTCAGGGCATGACAGAGTGGTATCAGAGCACGAGTTAATAACTCACACACTTGTCCAAATGAGCAATAAGCGTCTAGAAAAGATCTAGGATGCATTCATGTGATGAGTATGAATTTGAAAGCATCGAGAATACACTTAAAGGTTTTAATGTGAACGATTATGTGTTATAAGTTTGTGATTTGCTTGCATTGTGAATTATTTGAATATGTATGCTCTTTAGTATATGCGTACCTGTGAATCTTTTGTATAAAATATAATGCAAGTCTAATCAGATGGTGAGAACAAGAGATGATGAGATAGAGGAGTCCTCTACTGCTAGAATGGATAGAATGGAAAGATTGATTCAGGAAATGGCAGAGACATTGAGGCAACAACAACAGTGGCAGCAACCACAACCTCCACCTCCGGCACCACCCGTGCCAGACTTACAGAATGATGACCGAATAATAACTCTCACCAAAGAGTTTAAGAAGATGAAACCACCACAGTTCCATGGCGGATTAGATCCGTTGAAAGCCGAAGCATGGGTCCTCGGCATCGAAAAGCTATTTGAAGTGTTCCCTTGTTCGGAGACACAGAAAGTGCTTCTAGCCACCTTTATGCTAGAAGACGAAGCAAGAAGATGGTGGATGTTAATGCGTGAAAATCATAAAGACATTAACTGGGCAAAATTCCTGGAAGTCTTCTATGATAAGTACTTCCCTCAGTGTGTCCGTGACAGGAAGGTATCAGAGTTCATGGAACTAAAACAAGACAGCATGACAGTGGCTGAGTATGAGGCCAAATTCACTGAATTGGCCAGGTTTGCACCACATGTGATCGATACCGACTACAAGAAGGCGAGACATTTTGAAGGTGGGCATCGAAGCGACATTCTATAAAGGGTAAATGTCCTGAAGCTGGAAACCTATATTGGGGTGCTAGACCGGGCCATAATGTCAGAAGCTAACATAGCTAGACAGACTAAACCAACGACAGACTGGAAAGGTAGTAAGTGACAAGGCTTCTTTTCGAAGAAGAAATTTTTGAAGAAGCAGAATACGGGCTCCTCGAGTACTTCTAATTCTTCCCAAGATACATCCCCAATGTGTAATATTTGTAGTAAAAGGCATCGTGGGGTTTGTTACCGTGTGTCAGGAGCCTGTTTTAGATATGGTAAACAAGGGCATATGGCCAGGGATTGTAATCAGAACATTGGAAAATTAGCTGCTAGCTCAACGGCATCAATTCCAAAACCGGGAAATGCTATGAGATCTACCACCGCTGGAGATACCATGAGGCAAGGGAGAGTTTTCGCACTTATTTCGGGCAATACACGGAATGCTAACGCAGTTGTCTCAAGTACTATTTCTATATGTAATGAGGATGCTTTTGTGTTAATTGACTCCGGATCAACACACTATTTTGTAACATGTGCATTTGCATCTAGACTGAGTAGACCTCTAGAATTATGGCCATATCTACTATGTGTATCTGCTCCATCCGGGAAATCTGTATTGTGTGAATCTATATATCGTTTTTGTGACATGTGAATTGGGAATGTTATTCTGTATGCGGACTTGTTGCCCTTGAACTTTAGGTACTTTGATATAATTCTGGGCATGGATTGGTGTAGACGTCCCCTGAACGCCCCGGGAGGGTGAGTCCCGTTCTGTTCATTTTGGGGTCACTACAGCTCGGACTCTCGAATCGTCACGGTTCTTAATCTTGAACCAAAGAGTCCAAATCCGGCAAATCGTTTTAAGAAACAGATTTTTTGAAAAGAAGTGCCAAACATGGACTGCTTTGCCAGATACAGAGTCGCCACCTAAATATTTTTTTTATAGGGGAATCCCAGAGAGATGGTCGCCAGCAGAACGGTGATTTTGAGTTTGGACTGAAATGCTTCCCTATTTCATGCTTGTTTTTGTCTCTTTTTTTTTTTTAGAATGTAACCCGGCCTAGGGCCCCACAATTGTAACGCACCTTTCGTTAATGCAATGAAATTTGAAATTTTTGGCCCGTTTAACTTCTATTGCTTTTTGGCGTCGACGGTGCAAAATTTTTCCATAAACCGGTTCAATACTTCGACTCGAAATTAAGGGCTCATGAACGCGTCCGAGCAAAATCAGTCTCGCTTGACCGTTTTCAAACTTTAATAAATTCCAGTAATTTAATGTGACCGAGCAAATCAGCTCGCCCTTTCAGTTGGGTAGATCGCCAACAATTTCATTTTCCGCCGAGCAAAGTCAGCTCGGCGACAAAACTCCAACATTGGGCGAATCCTGCGAGAAAACTCCGCTCGTTTCCGCCAATATTGGACAAGACACCAATATCCAACCGGGCCGAGCAACGTCAGCTCGGGCCTTACATTGGGCAAAACACCAATGTTTTAGTTGAGTTGGTCATAGACGAGCCAACATTCAACGGGCGAGCAAACCAGCTTGGCCCTAATGCCGAATTGTCCATACGCCAATTTATCGTTGACAATGCACAACTGTTTGTGTGGTCTACTTCATTCCGGCGATGGAAATTTCAGTCCGGTCCCATTTCCAGTCGGTCTCCTTGCCCTGGCCATCCCATATTGCCTGCGTTCTGGCGAATTCACATTGTACAAAGATGTAATACCAAACAACCAAGGGCCATTTTTTGATTACAAAAGCATGCTATCTTTTTAACATTAATGCCAAAAGGCTAAAGGTCTAGGAAAGCTAAAAAACACAAGCAAGATTTACATCTTAAAAGTAAAAGACTAAGGTTGGCCGTATTCCCATGGTCGGGGGACAGCTTTGCCATCTAAAATCTTCCAGATGGTATGCCCCCTTTCCAGCAAGAGCAATCATCTTGTATGTCCTTCCCATTTTGCCCCGGAGCTTTCCTTCGCCAGGGACCACTGTGTTGGCCAAGCACCTTTCATTAATACCCAGTCCCAATCTTGAACAGCCTAGGGTGGCACAGCCTTGTTTGTACTTTTTGGAGAGTTCTTGTGATAGGGCGCTATTGTGGATCCAAATGCTCGCTCCCTCCTTCTTCAGTAAGTCACCCAACGCCACCGCTTCAATTATTCAGATCGGCTGGAAACTTTCAGAGGCAATAGTTGGCAAATGCCAATTTTCCAACGGATGATGCTCCATGCCATAGGCCAAATCAAATGGTGTTTCCCCGGTTGATCGCCTTGGCGTAGTGCGGTATGCCCAGAGCACATTAGGTGAGTTTTTCAGCCACTTGCCCTTAGCCTTCTCAAGCCGCTTCTTCCAGCCCGTCCAGGATGGTCTGTTTGAGGCCTTTGCTTGACCATTTTGACTAGGATAGGCCGGGAGTCGAATTTGTAGAACTCGATCTTTAACTCTTCGGCAAAATCCGTGAAAGTGTTTACCAATCAAATTGAGGTGCCATTATCGAGATGAGGGCTTGGGTATACCGAAACGGGTGATGACGTTTTTGCCATACAAACTTCTTCACGTCCTTTTCCCTTATGGTGCCTAGTGGCTCGGCCTACCCACATGGTGAAATAGTCGGTGCGGCGATGAAAGAACTTGCGGTTCGCCCTGGTGCAGCTGGAGTGGCCCAACAAATAACCAACCCCAATGCGTGAACGGCCAAGGACTTGTGAGAGGGAGCAAATCTCTACTGGCTGGTGGATCTGTGGGTGAACTTCTGACATTTCCGCACTTTGTGAACATATTTTTGCGCATTTGCCTGCATGTGCGGCCACCAATAACCCTGAGAAATTGCTTGGTAAGCCAAGGATCTACCCCCAGTATGGCTGCCACAGATGCCCTCATGTATCTCATAGAGGAAAGCTCCACCTTGGTGGGTGGGACCCATTTCAAATACGGCCCGGTGAAAGATTTTCTGTACAAGGCCCCGGACGGGGAGAGCCAAAACTGCTCTGACTTTGCCCGGATCTTGTGTGCCGCTTCTTTTTCTTCTGGTAGAATTTATATCTTTCGGAAGGCAATGATAGGATCCATCCAAGAAGGGCCCAAGTCGTGGCAGAGTACCTCGGCTGATTCTGGTTCCTCAAATACTTGGCCGGGGTAAAAATTCTATCATCAAGGGGTTAGGAAAGCTGTCTGACAAAGCAAGTCCCGGCCAATTCATCAGGCCGCCTGTTTTCCTCGCGGTCGATTTGTTCCATCCTTATTGCAGCGAACTTCTTGATCTCTGCGCTACCAGCGCCTGATACTTGCCATTCTTTCATCTTTGTCTCATACTCCCCTGTGACCTGATTGACCACCAACTTGGAATCACTAAATACCTAAGGGCTGTGGCTTTCATTCTCAGCGCGCTTCTCTAGTCCGGCAAGGAAGCTCCATACTCGCCTCGTTTTGGATGCTGGGAAGCCGAGTGTAATTGTCTGCTCGATGATCACCCGTCTGGCGAGTTCAGCACGATGCCAGCAGGCCCCATGTTTTGGACGCCCCATCAACGAAGAGCTTCCACATCTCGCCAATAAACAGCTTCCAGCAATCAGAGGGGTTCTGGGAGCTTCTCAATTCCAGGTCCTCTGGTTGGCTCATTTTGGTCTCTTTCCTCGTCATGGTTGACTTCCTCCTTCATTCGAGTCTTCGCCTCGCTGGTTCGGTCACTCTTTTGCCCTTCCTCCTCTTGCGCACCAACACTTGTTTTTGTTGCCAGAACCATGGGTTGTGCTAAATCCACGCCAACCAAATCAATTGGGCAGACTGGATGCATCCCAGGGCAAATTTTGCCACAAAGTCAGCAGTGCTTGAGCCTTGATTGCAGTGCCGCGGTCGAAACTTGATGTCATATTGCCCTAATTCACGGCCCATTTCAAAATTCTCCAGTGAAGTCTGCCTTTTCGAAAGCACTTGAGCGGGAACTCGGTTAACACAACTATTGTATGGG